TTCTCCCTCTCTATCCAGGATCTCCTACATAGACCCCCCTCCAAGTGGTTGACAGTGGTAGCCAGGCACCAACTAGTTGTTCTCATCTCATAGTCGTATAGGCTTAGGATTGCATGGTGAAGCAGTTGCTAGGACTAATGGTTTCCATGAATCTTTTATTTTCTTCATTTTTCTTTGCTCTGGACAAGGAGAGACCCATCATTGCATCTAGATAGCTGTTTGCAAGCTTTTAAGATGCAGTCGCCAGTCACCAAAGTAGGAGGTGGAACAATGTTTTTGTGTAGTATGTTATGCCAATTGAACTTGATGTGCCCTGCGACTATGATCCTGAGCCCACATGTCCAACTACTTGCTCCCTATGGGTCTCTGGCTGTGCCCAAGAAGTCACTGCAACTTTGTCTCTTGTCAGCTCTACTACACACCTGGGAATTCTTACAGAACATACAAATACACTTGTAGAACCATTGTCTGCCAACCCTACACATGGTCTTGGGTACACAACCCACTGCGTAGACATACCTAGTAGTTCAGCCTGTCTACCCATCTATCCACCCATATACCCATGTTTGCCTTCACTGACAACACAGTACTGTATGTGCAAAAGGGTTCATCTTTGTACTCTGCACCTCCCATGTACCTCTCTATGTCCTCCTCTTCCACCACGTTGATCACTCACATTTAGTCCATTGCCTCTCTGTTCACCCAAATCAATACTTACATAAACCTATCTAACAGTGTTCTCTGCCCTTCCCTCCCACCCCTGGTAACCAATAAAGAAAATTTCCTTCCATACATAAACCTTTCCTTAACTTTGATTTTTACAATAACTAATACAATATTTGTCCTTCTGTGATTGACTTATTTCACTCACCATAATGTCCTCCAAGTTTATCCACGTTATGTGGTGTTTTGCAGATTTTATGTTTTTCTTCAGGGTTGCATAGTATTCCATTGTGTGTATGTACCATAGTTTGGTTATCCATTCCTCAGTTGATGGACACCTACATTGTTTCCATCTTTTGACTATTGTAAATAATGCTACGATGAACATAGGTGTGCATATGACTATTCTTGTCATGGCTATCACTTCTTTAGGATGTATACCTAGTAATGGAATAGCTGGGTCAAATGGTATTTCTAATTCCCACTTTTTAAGGAATCACCATACTGCTTTCCACAGTGGTTTTACCATTTCACAGTCCTTCCAGCAGTGTATGGGAGTCCCAATCTCTCTGCATCCTTGCCAAAATTTGTTATTTTCTGTCTTCTTGAATTTTGCCACCAATGCTGGAGCAAGACGGTATCTCATTATTGTTTTGATTTGCATCTCTGTAATGGCTAATGATCATGAGCACTTCTTCATATGTTTGTTGGCCACCTGAATATCCTCCTTGGTGAAGTGCCTATTCATGTCTTCTGCCCATTTTTTAAATTGGATTGTTTGTCTTTTTGTTATTGAGGTGTTGGAGTTTTCTATAAATTCTAGA